CGTCACAGGGGCTAGGGAGTGGGTGTCTGACACAGCCACCCTGCAATCTTATCGTCCCCGCATGCCACCTCCTTCACCCGGAAACATCCTGCTGCATCAGAGCCAGATGTGGATTCTGCGCACTGCCCCAGACATCCCTCCAGTGAGCCGGTTAATTAAAACGCCAGAACACGAGAGTCGGAGAAAAGCTGGCTCATCCATTCAGACTTCTTGTTAGTCGGCAGCCGAGACACCTGGTGGGGACATCTGTGTGTGAATTACAACCAGTGTGCAAGCTGAGTGTTTGTCCTGACGCCTGCCCCACACAGGGCCTGTCTCAACCGAGGGAGCTGCTCTGTCACAGGACTCAGTGCTTTCAGAATTCAATGGCCTTCACCTCCCCATGACCTATGGCTGCTGTGCTGACAGAGGCGGCCACACCTGCTGCCCTTCCCGGTGTTTTCCATGGGCTCTGCCCAGGGCTCAGAAACAGTGGCTATTCTGTTATGTTGTCTTGTGCTCTCAAGAGTCACATGGAACATCCTGATCACCCTCCCACTTCACCCCCCCCCGCCCCTCCCCTGGTTCCTAAGCATGTGACACTTTTGTTATTCTTTTGAAATTGGGTCTCATAGCTGAGGCTGGCCTTGAACTCCTGACTCCACCTTCCTGATGCTGGGTTTACAGGCATGCACCACCACCACCACCACCACCAGACCTGACTCAGCAAATATCTCCTTATTTGGAAATAGTACCTTTACAAAGGGGATGAAATGACCCTGTCCTTTTTTGATTTTTGTTTTTGGAGACAAAGTCTGTCATACTTGCATTCTGCTGCACTGACAGAAAAGCAACCTGGGGGAGAAAGGGTTTGTTTGGCTTGCAATTCCAGGTTACAGCCCATCACGGTGAAGAAGCCAAGGCAGGAGTCAAAAGCAGCTCGCCAAGTTAAGAGCACAGAGAGAAAATAACTGCACGCATGGTTCGTGTTCTGCTAGCTCTTGCTACTCTTATAGCCCAGGATACCCTGCCTAGGGATGGTGCCACCCACAGAGGCCTGGGGCTTCCCACATCAATTATCAGTCAAGGCAATCTCTTTCAGACATGCTCACAGCCAATCTGATGGAAGTAATTTAAACCAAGGTTCCTTCTTACCAGGTGACTCTAGGGTATATCAAGTTGACAACAAAAACCAGCTGAAGCCAGGTGTGGTAGCACATGCCTTTAATGCCAGCACTCGGGAGGCAGAGGCAGGTGGATCTCTGTGAGTTCGAGGCCAGCCTGGTCTACATAGTGAGTTCCAGGCCAGCTGGGGCTACAGGGAGACCCTGTCTCAAAAAGACCAAAAAAAAAAAAGAAAGAAAGAAAAAAAAACAAACTAACCAGCTGAAGCCGGTCCCTCCTTACCTGAGTCTCCAGCCCTGGGCCTCACTCCTAAGGTATCAGTTGACCCCTTCCACCAAAGAAATCCTGAATGCTTCCAGGCATGCGCGGGCCTCAGGAGGAACCCTCACACTTCCACAACTCTGCAGGGCTAAGTCCCACTCCAGGCCCTAACCCACCCCCTCAGTACACTGTCCTAAATACACTGAGGACTTTTGCACAAGCCAGGCAGATCCACCCTGTTCAACAACTTCCCAGTCTCACAGCTCTGAGCTCTGCAGCTGCTTGACTTCGACACTGATCATGGCTGGGAGCTTTCAATGGTTGAACCTGGGGCACCCACCACAGACCCTGAACCAAATGCTGAGAGTGGGCTCCACGTGCTGGGGGATGTCCAAGGCAATTGAGGGTCTGCTGAAGCCAGGGGTTGGGGTCCTCGTCCTGAGCAGGAGCCTGACACAGCTGGTACTGTTAACCTTGTAACCCAGCCAGGGAATCCCCCTGGGAAGGCTGTTTTATTTTTACTTTGACTCTTAGTTGTTTTTCAATTTATCTGGTAACAAGTTTAGAAAGCATCTTTCTGAGAATATCCCCTGAGGAGCTGAGTTGTTTACACCAGTCTGCCCTGTCTGAGCAAGATGATTGTTCACACTTACATCCCTCAGGGGACCGAGGCCAGGGCATCCAGGCACATTCAGGCCTACCCACTTCCTGAGCTGCCAATCAGATACGGGGTGACCTCTCACTGAGGCCTCTGCTGGGAATTGAGATCCACATGAGCCTGGCAGGAGCCTTGGGCAAAAGATACAGTCTCTGAGAGGTGTGGAGAGGGTGCATATATGTGCATGGGGGTGTGCAATGTGACTACATAAGCATACACGTGTACATGTGTGCATGCATGCATGGATACACACCTGTGCACATGAGTGCAGAGGTTCTATGGACATGTGCGCAGATGTGTGTGTGAGCATGCATGTACCCATGTGCATGTGTATGTCTGCATGCAGAGGCACTTATTGCATGCATATGAATGGTGTGCACTGTGTGTGTAAGAACATGCATGCGGGCATTATATGCATGTGTGTGTGTGGCTGTGTATGTGTTACGTGCATAAGTGCATGTGTGTGCATGCACAGGTAAGCGTAGGTGAGTAGCAAAGGTGATGGCTACAGGTGAGGATTTTCCAATCATGTCACTTTTTATCAGGGCCTTCCAGGCCAGCTCCCATGGTCACTGCTCTGGCCTGGGATAGACAAGGTCAGTCATACTGGTCTCAAGCTCCTCAAACTTGAGGAGGAAAAAGGAGCCAGCAGTGCTCTAGGAAGAGGACTCAATTAGAAGCCAGGGGAAAGGAGAGCCCTGGTGGAGCCTGGAACCGAGCAACTGAACCAAATCCCCGCCTCCCAGGAAACCTACCAGCTCTCTGCTCTTCTCTGGCAAGACGATCTGCTAAGGGCTCTGTGGTGGGTGTGTGGGAGAAGCCCTCCCATTCCTCTGGGAACAGAAGGACAGCTCACCTCTCTGTCACAGACCAAAATCAAGCTAAGCATGCTGTCTGGTAAGTGTGATGCAATCTGACCTGGCATCCGGTAAGGTGTGTGTGAGCCTGACAGGAGGATGCTCCCTACAGGTGAGAGTCTTTGGGGACCAGAGCCTGGAATGAGGGCCCCTGGACACCCTCACGATTTGTCCCATTGCATTCTTGGGTGTCTGAATCCCCACATACTGCTGCCTGCTGGTCTCCCTGAGGTGGGTCTGGCCCGGGGCCCCTGGGTCCTTCTCCCTCTACCACTTGACTTTCCTGTAGGAAGTTTCCCAGCCAGGGGAGAAAAATCATTATTTGCAAAAATTGGCTGTAGCCACAGCATCCTTAGCAACACAGCAGAGACAGAAGAGCTATTTCCCTCTGGGTTGGTCCTCTCTAGAACCCTCAGCCGCCATGCAAAGTACTTTCTAACACTGTCATAGGTATGCAGTCCCACACTGGTCCCTATCACCTTTCTCCTTCAAAGTAGGTGCCCTGTCCCTGCCACACTCACACACTGCTCCTCTCTGATTTATTTTTATGTGTATGAGTGTTTTACTTACATGTGTGTAAGTTGCACCCATGTCATGCAATGCCCAAAGAAGCCAGAAGAGGGCATCCAATCCCCTGAATTGGTTGTTAACTGTCATGTAGGGAATGGAATCTGGGTCCCCTGCAAGAGCAGTAAGTGCTCTTTTTAAAAAAAAAAAAAAAAAAAAAAATTTATTTTATTTTATTGGTCATTTTGAGACAGGGTCTCCCTGTAGCCCCAGCTGACCTGGAACTCACTATGTAGACCAGGCTGGCCTTGAACTCACAGAGATCCACCTGCCTCTGCCTCCCAAGTGCTGGGATTAAAGGCATGCGCCACCATGCCCAGCCTATTTTTATTTCATTTTATGTGTATGAGTGTACTGCCTGCATGTATATAAGTGCATCCGTGTAGTACAATGCCTGCGGAGGTCAGAAGAGGGTGTCGAATCCCCAGAAACTGGAGTTAGGGACAGCTGTTAGCCGCCATGTGGGTGCTAGGATTGTCTTTGTCTCCAGTCCCACCGTCAGTGCTCTTAACTTCTGAGCCATCTCTCCAGCTCCTGGAAGTGCTTTTTCATCTTTACTATCCTCAGTGGGGACAAGCGCATTACCCTAAAGAATGACTTTCAGCCACAGCCACAAATACCTTCAAATCACTAGTTCATTTAAATCTAGATGCCACCTCCTCCTCCCCTCATTCCATGACCCTGGTCCATAGGACAGAATTCAAGTTACAGGTTTCCTGCGGGAGCTCTTAGAGGGCAGGTGAGGGAAGGTATATTCTCTGTGCATCATAGTTCATAGTACACATGTACTTTTGTATGTATCAAATATCACATAAAACATAAAGCAAGAAACAGCTTATATATTTCATTTCATAGGTGAGTGGTTTAAAAAAAAAGACAGTTCTCTCTCTCTCTCTCTCTCTCTCTCTCTCTCTCTCTCTCTCTCTCTCTCCTCAGTATCCCACAGTCTCTCTCCCTTTACCTCTCCCCTACCTCCATCTAACATACACAAAGATACTTTTAGACCTTCCTCCCGACCAAGCACAGGATGGGGATGTACCCATGCCCCCAAAAGGACCAAAAGGACCCTGACAAGCCCAGTACCAGTGAAAGTCGGCATCACCTGCTCACCCCAGCACCCTCCAGGTCTTACGGGTCTCCATCCCCAGCAAAGGCATACTAAGGAGTCCAGCACCAAAAGAGACACCCTGGAGACTATGCCCAGCCCCCTAGGAAGGCAGGCAGAGGGAACCTAGTCTGCCAAAAGTGATTCCTCCCTCAAGGCTGTATGTACCAGCCTCTGAGCACAAACCCAGGCCCCAGCAGCAGCCTTAGTCAAAGGCCAGGAGTCTGTGGAGTGGTACTACGTAAGCACACTTCCTCGGTGCATTCTAAACACAAACAGTATCAGTGTGGAAAAGAGAGTGGGAGGCAGATCGAGCAGGTAGAGAAGGGAACCAGGGAGGTTTAACATCTGACAAAAGAGAACGCCAGGCCACCCAGGCTGTGGGTTCCACTGGTAGGTCAGGGTCTCCTTCATTCTCTCCCCACCCCAGCAGGGTGGGGACACTCACCTCTGCAGTTCCTTCAGGGAAACTGTGACACGCAGACTGTGGCCCAGCACGTAGAGAGCAGCCAGAATGTCTGCCCACTGCACCATCTCCCCGAGAGGCCCACCCTTCATCACCCTTGGGCTGAACACGTCCCCGGACTCCTCTGTCAGGAAGCCAATGTGGATGAGGATCTGGGTGAGCAGGACACAGGGGTCAGCAGGGAGCAGTAGAAGCTCTCAAGCCTGCCCACCCTACCCAGACCCCAGGGTCACCCCAGAAGACCAGCCACACAGCATCAGGTACTGGGGATACAGGTGAACGAGACAGTCACGTGCTTGCCTCATGGCGCTTACGTCACAGATGGACGAGGTGGACAGCACACACAGACAAGACAGTTTCATGAAATGATAAGGACTCAAAGAAAGAAACGAGGTGACAAGCATGTAATTCTCTCTGTACAGGGAGATGGACGGAGAGACGACGGTTGGACAGATGGACGGACAGGCCAACAAACTTTCTCAGACTTCCAGACAAAATCCAGAACTTTTCTGTTGACAAGATCAAAATATCCCAAGCCTTTGTCACTCCACCCCAGCCTTGGAAAAGTGCAAGAGCTCCACTGTCGTCCTGACCCTCTTATCCCTTCCCTCCTCCACGTGGATTAAAGTCAAAGAAAGTCAGTGCCGCTGGTTTGAGGCCTGCCCTGTGTTCAAATAGAACACCATGCCCACCTGGAACCCTGTGCCCACATGCAACCCTTTGCTGATTCAGAACCCTGTGCCTGGAACCCTGTGCCCATTTAGAACCCTATGCTCACCTGGACCCTGTGGCCACTTGGAACCCTGTTCCCATTTAGAACTCCATGTCTCCTTGAAACTCTGTGGCTACTTTGGATCTCATGCTCATTTAGAGCCCATGCCTTCCTTAAAACCTCAAGCCCACTCAGTTTGCCATGCTCATGTCCACTTAGAATGCCCTGTCTATCCCATGCCCACCTAGAACCCTGTGCCCACTTGAAACCTGTGCTGTGAGCATGCTACCCAGGCTCTCTGGGATCTACTGCTTGAGAGAATGACATACCTGTTTCTGGTCCCTCCGGATGTCACCCAGCTTCTGTGCCAGGCGCTGGGCAGCGATGGCCCACTGGGCAGTGAGGCGCTTGGTTCGCTTCTTCATGAAGATCAGGGACTCTTTCCCACTGCCCATCAGCTCCAGGAGGTGGGACAGATTGCTCCGGAATACTGCCTGGAGAGGGGCCAGATCCCAGTTCTCTCAGCCCCCCATGTACAACCACCATCTCCTGCTCTCCTAGAATTGGGGCTGGCACCTGTGAGGCAGATGCCTGCTCCAGTGTCCGTCGTCCTTTCCAAGGGCAAAGGAGCTGTGCTCTTACCCTCTAGCCCAGCTTTCATTAACTAGCTGCCCTGAGTCTTCCAGGGAAGCTAGTCAGTTCTGAATCTCCCAGGCTGCCTTTCAGTGGTGCCACGGTCACTGTGTGCCTTGAACCTGTTAACTCTCTAAGTCTGCATATTTTCATCCATTAAATACAATCACAGAAGGACAGCTGGGAGATAGAATAAACCCAGTGTCTGGCATGCAGAAAGCCCTCAGTCCATGACAACTATTATTACTGTTATTCTCGTCCATTAAAGGGGCACCGCCAGGGCCCCAGCTTGTCCCCTCAGGAAGGCTCCCAGAGGATGAGCCAGGCACTCTTAGCTGGCTGAGCTGGTGGCCTCATTCCATGGGGATAGAGCTGAGGTTCCCTCCCACTGTCTCTGATGATGTATAGCCAGGCTCCAAGGCCTACCTGGACTTTGGGGAGGGACTTAGGAGCCGTCCGGGCAGCAGTCTGGTTCCTCCAGGGTAGCAGCGGACAGAACCACTCGACCTCGCTGAGGTAGATGAGGAAGGAGCACTCGGTGCCATCCACCCCAAAGAAGGCGTAGCAGGGGTCAGAGGTCCAGCGGGCACGCATCCACTACAGAGAGGACCAGGCCTGGGCAGGCAGCCAGCAACCCATCTCAAATCACCCCACCCTACAGACTTCTGCAACCCAAGGGACCCCAAGCTTTCCCAGGCTGGGCCGGGCCCTGTGAGGCATTCCCTGACCTAAAGACACAGCAGGAATGGCAGAGAAGTCTGGCCTGGGACCAGCCCTCCACCACTGTGGACCAGAGACAGTGAGTCACCTTCCCCCAGGCCTCACAAGAGGACTTCAGACTGGGTAGATGCACAGGGGCCAAGCACCAGGGCAAAGATCCCAGAGGGGCACCATTCTGAGCCAGCTGCCACCTTCATCCTTTGCATCTCATCTCGTAGTCACCTCTAGGGGTCCAGGGCTGGGGCCAGGGAAGGTCTCTCCACAGTAGTCCCCGTGTGATCCCCCAGGAAGGGGTATGCAGCCCCACAGCTCACCCCTTTCTATATTCAGAGCTAGTGAGAAGCTGACTTTAGGGCATGCATGGACATGGTACAGTCAGAGGTGGCCCTTGTAGGAGGGCAGGAGGGGCCCTCAGTCCACTGGGACACAAGGTGAGAAAGGAGGACCAGAACACAGTGACCCAGGCCCATTCCTTGTCAGTTTATCGGTATAAAGCTACCGGTGGCAACACACATCTGGTTGTAAGAAGCCCCTGAAGGTGACTTGCCCAAGAGGGCTTTGGACTGGTAACCAGGCTACAGGACCAGTGAAGAAACCCCTTTTCTGAAGTCAGCCTCAGCCAGCTGGTGCTGGATTAGGGGACCAGCCAGCAGAAAGCCCAGCCTAGAGAGGAATCCAGAACCAGGCCGAACAGACTCCTGGCGAGGAGCCTCCCACCTGCTGGCCACCCTCTACCCCAGCTCAAGGAGAGCCCTAGGCCTCACCTCCACCTTCCCCGAGCAGTCAGGGAACTTAGGGTCACTGGGTGCCTCACACTGGTCCCTCCGGCCTTCAGACACTGCAGAAAAAAAGCCAGCTTGCTGAGGCACTGGGGCCAGGGAGCAGCCCAGGGGCCAAGGTAAGGAGGAATGCTGTGTGGCAGGACAGAGAAGGGGAAGCCCCCGCACTCTCCACCTGAGGGTTCTCCCAGGGTCCCAGGGTCCGAGCTATCCTCCTCTGCCCAGCCGGCCACCTCCTATCAGAAGCAGCAAGCTACACAGTGGCTCCCTGGATGGACGGACCGCAGCCTCCCACCAAATGTACCCTTGCTTTTTCTGAGGGCAGATAGGCAGAAGCCTCCGGCTGTTCCTCATATCAAGGGGAATGGTGGCCTTGCTCCTGGAACGCCAGGGACCTCCTCCATCCTCCACACCCTCAGGCATAAGGATGACAGGGTAGAGCTGGTTCCCCTGCTGAGGGCCTGAAGTGGGGTCCCAAGAACCAGCTGAGCATTGCCAGGGGAATGAGACCTCCCTGAGGCTCCACCCTATTCAGCAGGTGGCCTCCGGGGACACAGGGCAGTGTCTTGCCTGGCACACACCCTTGCTGTGCAGGAGCAGGCTGTGGCGTAGGATCTGGTCCACCTTTACAGCGATGTCAGACACGTTCTGGGCAATGGCCTGGATTCGCTCCATGAGGCCGGCCCCGGCCCCGGCCCCAGGGGTGAGCCTAGAGAGAGGGGAGAGCCAGAAGTGTGACCTTCTGAGGCCCAGGCCAGTCAGCAGAGACAACGGAAAGCCAGAGAGAGACGGAGCTGAGCTTGCCCTCATCCAATGCACACCTTACCCAGGCAGGAAAGCCCGCATCTATGGGAGCTGCGTGTATTTACAGTGTGCATCATGCATCAAAGGGCAGCACCTGGGCTGAAACCCGCCTGCCAAGACCCTGAACAGATCAGCCCAGGAACCCCCAGGTGACAGAGGTCTTCACTGCAGGCACGGCCAGCTGCTCTGAGTCTATTTATCCTGCATCACGCCAAAATAAATTTCACTCACAGCAACCTGGGGACTTGCCAGCTATTCAACCTGCAGTAAATTAGTACAGCTTTCCTGAAAACGAACTCTTCCCTGTGTGTGAGGGGGCAGGGGGGAAAGGAGGGAGGGGGTAAGCAGGGGGCCAGAGGCTGGCATCAGGTGTCCATCTTTTTATTTTTTATTTCTTATTTTAATGTGTATGGGTGTTTTGCCTGCATGTATGTAAGTGCACCACATGTATGCAGTGCCCATGGAGGCCAGAAGAAGCCATTGGATCCCCCAGAACCAGAGTTACAGGTGTTTGTGAGCCACCATGTGGGTGCTGGGAAATGAATTCAGTTCTCAGTAAGAGAACTGCTGAGCCATCTCTCCAGCCCCTCCATCTCACTTTCTGAGACAGTCTCCGACTGAACCTGGAGCTTCCCGATTGGCCAGCTTGGCTGCGCAGCAAGCCCTAGGGAATTCTTGTCTCTACCTCCCCAGGGCTGGGATAGCAGGGTTGTGACCCATGTTTGGCTTTTCACATAGGTGCTGGACATACAAACTCAGATCCTCATGTTTACGTAGCAGGAACCTTGTTGACTGAGTTATCTCCCCAGCATCACCCCTTCATTATTTTTTAAAGAGTTTATTTATGTGTGCATACATACCTGTGTGAGTGTACATGCATACATGTATGCAGGTATATATGGAGGCCAGAAGAGGGCATCAGATCCCTTGGAGCTGGAGTTACATTTTGTCAGCTGCCCAATGTGGGTGCAGGGATTTTCATGTCCTCACGATGGAACAGCAAATGCTCTTAACTACTGAGCCATCTCTCCAACCCATAACCAACCCCTGCCATACTTGATTATTTTGAGACAGTGTCTCATGTAGCCCAGGTTGGCCTCAAACTCCTTGATTAGCTCAGGGAAACTGCACTTCTAATCCGCCTGCCTCCACCCCCCAAATGCTGGGATTACAGGCATGTGTGTATGTGGTGCTGAGGATCAAACCCAGGGCTTCATGCCACATCCCCAGGCCCCTTCCCTGGATCTTGAAAGAGTTGCTACCATGGACATCATATCCGCTATCTGTCTCCATTAACGTGGGGCTGCTTTGATTTTTGGAGGATTTATTTCCTCGTTGATGCTCAAGGCTCAGGAAATTGTATTAGATGCAGTATTTATCCCCTGGAACACCCTGCTATTGAGATCCCGCTCTGCCGGCCTTATCTTCCCGCCAAGCACAGCCCTGGGGTCTTCTCCAGGAAGCTGCTTGCTTTCAACACTGTAACTCCACTTGCTTTGATTCTCACCTCACCCTCTGGCTTCACACCAGCACCCATGTGAAAGGCAGCCATAGCAATGAATGTCCATAACTCCAGCTCTAGGGGCAGAGACAGGTGGGTCCTGGGGCCCACTGATAGTCAGTTTAGCTCAAATAGCAAGCTCCAGGTTTGGTGAGAGACCGTGTCTTAAAATAAGGTAGAGGACAATCTGGCCTGCTCTGTGTATATACATGCATGGACAGACACACACACACACACACACACACACACACACACACACTGCTGTTTAGGCTCTGTTTATCCCCACTCTGGCATTTGGTCTACACTGACCCACATCGTGGGTAATATAGACAGGCTCTTTCCAACCCGGGCTCCATCTGGGCATGCAAACCCCACTTCTGGGTTGGGTGACCCACCCACCAGAGAAGGCACAGTAGTGGCCCTTGGTGGCCAGTTGCCCTAGTCAGTCAAAGGCACACAGAAAACAACAGAACGGGAAGCAAGTTTCAAATGCAGATGGGCTGCCCTCCATACTGACAAGGGACAGGACACTGCTCCTCTAGTGGATGAATGTTGAGGTGACTGGAGGAGTTGCCCCAGCACAGAAAGCTGAGGAACCTCCACAGCCACTCTGCAAGGGGTCAGGCTGCCGCTCTGCAAGGACCAGAGGCTGAGGGCATACCAGGCTTTTACCAGGACAGGGACTACACAGGAAGAGTCAGGTAAGCTGGCCTAATTCCTATGTAGAGACCCCAGGGCACAAAACCCACGCAGGGACCAGCTGGGGGTCCTGGCAAGCGTGGAAACACCCCACCTCACCATCCCAAAGCCGCCTTCCTATGGGCACCTCTCCATCTACCCTGCCAGAGCCCCAGCCCTTCCCAAGCTACAAGACGTTGAGTGTGAGACCTGGTCTGAGTCCTCAAGGGCAGGACAGCTTTCGTATTTGGAGCCTGATCCTGTCAGCATGGGCCATGTGCTCAGGGACTCAGCACTGTAGGCTGAGTAGTATCCTCAAACTCATGTCCTCCTGGAACCTCAGAATGTGCCCAATTTTGGAGTAGGGTCTTTACCGATTAGAAAAGATGAGGTCATGCTCGGTTAGGGTGGTCCCAAGTTCAATGACAGAGGTCTTATGAGGAGGCCATGTGACAACACTCGGAAGAAACCACATGAGGTTGGACGTGGGACAGTGGAATGCTGTCCTCTGGACACACTACAGCACTGCCATCTTGACTTCAGAGCAGCTGTGACCACCAGTATGTGACCCTCACAAGAACCAAACTGTTAACAAAGAGGGGTCATCAGACCCTCACCTGAGACTCTAGCTATTCATTTCCCCTGCCTCTGCCAGCTGCAGCTGGTCTTGGGGAGCACAGAGGAGGGGAAGATTGACTGGGGTAGGGATGCCAGGGATGCAGCTTTTGTGAATTGTCACCCACACTCCCGTAAGTAACCCCAAGCTGGACTTGGATGGATGGGCTGTTTATTGTTGTTGCTGCTGTTTGGTGGAAAGGTCATGTGACAAGGGGGCACTGCACTCATGTGGCCAGGAAGCATCAAGGTCAGCACTGACCATGAGGTCCTTGAAGACAGGACCGCCCCAGAGCCTTGGAAGGGGCATATCTGGGATGCCTTGACTGGAGAGAATAATCGTTAAACATTGGTTGTTTCCTGCCACGTGGCTCATGAGCAGAGAGACTAACACAATCACCATGCACTGGATGGAGAACACAGCTCTTACTCTGGAATCAGGAAGTTCTTTTCCCCGGCTGTGCCCTCTTGCAGACCCCCAGTATCATTTGAGTGTTGCTCTCACTGGAGGACAGAGAGAGCAGATGCTGTTCTTGACCTTAAAGCCTGGCCACATTATTTAGATTGTTGGGAAAAGTGAGGCCGGGAACCAGAGGACCTAGACACAAAGCCTGGCTCCCCATCACAACTGTGTCTTTGGGAGGGTTACATAACCTCTCTGAACTCAAAGCATCAACTCAAAAAACCAAAAAAGAAGAAAAAAAAGCCATGTTACTGTGAGGATTCAAGATAAGGTGGAACAGTAAAACTTTGATATACTCTAGGTATTTAATAAATATTTGATATGACCAGGTGTGGTAGCACAGGCTTTTAATCCCAGCACTCAGGAGGCAGAGGCGGGGGTGGTGGTGTCTCTGTGAGATTGAGGCCAGCCTGGTCTACATAGTGAGTTTTAGGTCACAGGGCTACAGGGAGACCTTGTCTCAAAAAAATCAAATAAATAAATAAATAAATGATATGTTTTGTTGTTGTTTTGTGTTCATGAGAATCAAGTTTATGGCCTCACACATGCTAGGCACTGAGCTACATCCCCAGTCCTGTTTCTTTAACTCCCTATTTAAGCAGATACCCTGTTCCCAAGGAAATATCACAGGCCCAGCCATAGAGCAAAGTACTTAACTTTTTGGAGGATTCAGCAATTCTCCTACAATAATCATTTTTGCATAAAACATATTGTCAGCCTGGGCTTTAAATAGTGAAATGGCATCTGTTGGATTTAACAAGTTCAACTTGTTCAAAACAGAATCACTTGGCGTCACTATTATTAAACTGGACTTAGCAATCACACAGCACTTTCTATTTTCAAATAATATACAATTAAGCTTCTCACACTGAGACACATTTCCATAAACGACAGTAAAAAGCAGTCTTGGGCCTCAGAGCCCAGTGGATCAATGACTTAGGAAATGCCCAGGTAGAAAACAAAGGGGTCTGGGACTGTGGCTCCATAGGTAGAATGTTAGCCTGACTCGCATGAAGGTCTGGGTTCCATCCCCAGCACTGCACAAAATGAATATGATAGGACAGCACTTTGGAAGTGGAGGCAGAGGGTCAGAAGTTCAAGGTCATTCTTGGCTACACAGAGAGTTGGAGGCCAGTTTGGGATAAAGGAAGCCCTGTCTTTAAAAATAATAATAATAGCCAAGCATGGTGGTGCACGCTTTAATCCCAGCACTGGGGAGGCAGAGATGGGTGAATCTCTGAGTTCAAGGTCAGCCTGGTCTATATAGTGAGTTCCAACCCTGTCTCAAAAAGACCAATAACAATAATAATAACAACAATAATGAAAAGCCACGTCTCACCCGCTGGGTAGGTGGTACCAAGAAGCAGAATTTGAAACAGGCAGGAAGGCACCTTGTCACTTGGAAGGGAACCAGGCTCAGCAAAACCAGGACTGGAAAAAAGGCCAGCCGGGTACAGGGACTGATGTCCTTGAGGTGGGACCTCCCCCAAGGCAGGTCTAAAGCTAAAGTTTCCTTGACAACAGTCACACTGTCTCTGCAGGGCCATCACCTGAATACAGTCCTGAACTTGTCTTTGGGGACCGGGCTCTCTGCCTCCCTCTAGTACAGACTTCCTCCAGCTGGCACAGTAGCCCCAAGCCCTTTGGT